AAAGGGGGAAACCACAGTGTTTTGTTATAATGGGAAAGCTGGAGGGAAAGAGAGACCGGCAGGATGTGAAGAGATGAAGAAAAATGTCAACTATTTGGTAAATATCCTTGAGCTAAAATCTGTCTCTGGGGCAGGAGTGTGTCGACAGACCCACTATATGAGCTATAAAATAAAACATGGGCTGAAACAACAGACTGGACAATTTATTGCCTGACATATTTCGATGTATTTCGTCAGTTGCTAGTATGAGAATGGACGTGGAGGTTGTAACGGTAGTTTCTGGCCCTGAGAACAGCAAACATGTTGCAATGGTAAATGACCCATAGAGTATGCTTAGGGAAATAGAAACTGTCGTTATACGCGTAGAATGACTTGCATCGTTTGATGAGACTCAGATCAGAAACATGAGGATTTTTTGTTAAGGATGTGCGGGTGCCATACGTAACATTTTAGAACAATGCAACGAATGGCAGAGAAGTATATATATTAATTTTGTGGACTTTGAAAAAGCTTTTGACAGCGTCCATAGAGACGGTCTGTGGAAAATTTTACGACATTATGGAATTCCAGAAAAAAATAATCAACATAATTGCTCTCTTCTATAAAGACTTTTCCTGCAGTATAAAAAATTACAATACATCTTTCCCAGTAAAGACGGGTGTAAGACAGGGTTGGTGTTATGTCATCTCTCCTCTTCAACCTTGTGATTGATTGGATACTAAAGAACACAGTAGACAGGACATTAAGAGGCATACGATGGACTTCATTCACCATGCTTGAGGACCTTGATTTTGCAGATGATATAGCACTCCTATCACATAAACATGAACATATACAAGAGAAAAGTAACAGACTAAACTGCACAGCAGAAATGGTGGGACTGAGAATAAATGCAAAGAAAACTAAGATCATGACAAACAGTCCAAACCCACAACCAGTGACCATAAATAACAAATCACTTGAAAATGTAAAACATTTCACATAACTTGGCAGTGTGGTGTCCCTACTGGGAGGGACAGAGGAAGACATACAGTCACGTCTGAACAAAGCTAGAGCTGCTTTTGGAAGGATGAGGCAAATCTGGAAATCCAACAATTACTGCGGAGGAACGAAACTCCGACTCTACAAGGGCATCATTTTGCCAGTTCTTCTTTATGGAGCGGAATGCTGGAGAATGACCAAAAAGAATGCACACAAGCTGTCCACCTTCCACCACACATGTCTACGTAGAATTATCAAAATTTTCTGGCCAGTTACAATCTCAAACACTAAACTACTTCAAGCCACAAACCAAGAAACTTTAGACAGTATGATTACCAAGAGAAGATGGAAATGGCTTGGCCACGTTATGAGAATTACTTCTGATATACCTGCCAAAACAGCTCTCACATGGACACCAGAGGTAAAGAGAAAACAGGGGCGCCCAAAAACAACATGGAGACGAACGATGGAAAGTGACCTGAGTGTGGCATCTTTGACATGGAAAACTGCACTAAAGATTGCACATGACAGGAAAGCATGGAAAGTCCTCTATGAAGCCTCATGTGCCACTAGGCATAACGAGAACTGATGATGATGATGATGATGATGTGCGGGTGCTAGGGGTAATGAGCAAGTTGATAGATGGTTGATGTTGCTCCTCTTGGTTTTGAGTTACTTAATGATATAGCAGATGTGGTAAAGGCTATCTGTGATCAAGTGGACACTGTAACAGAATAGATAGAGTATCCATACCTCGAAAGACTAATTCAGCGGGAAGTGAACAGATGCTCTGAAAGATCTTCAACACTAAAAGGGGAGGGGGGGGAGGGGAGGGTGTCCACATGTGGACTAGTAATCAAGTTGCAACTGGTACTGGCAGCATATCGACTTTTCGTTTGCTTTTGAGGAAGGAGACTGAACATGACTACGAATGTCCCAAGTGCAGAGATGTCAGTTCTAAATTAACTAGTTTTTCATGGTCAAACTACAATAAGCATTCGTTTAAATATTGCACTGACGAAAATAATATTGTTATGACTGCCTAACTATGCGAATCTACGACGTGGTGTTGGAAATGAGGGTCAAAGGTTACGTCTAGCAGTCCATAACTTAAATAGACAACATGAGGCGATGTTTCTTCTGTTTAGACAACATATCGGCAAGGGAGCAGGTTTGTGTCTGCATATTGCGGTGAAATATAACCGGCATACATGTGTCAATTACGTACTGACTGAACTTAGTATGTTTCTGGATTGATTAGGTCATAGCCGTGTTCGAAATATATAAATCACACCTGAGACACCGGGAAATTACTATTATATTATTACAAACAGAAACTTTGTGGTGGCACCTTTTTTAAGAACTTTTATAAATAATGAGTCCCGGCATTTTTTCCCCCCTAAGAATCATTACCATATATCATAAAGGTCCTTTATAACTTTATAGAACGTCGCTCTCACCACGGTCTGCCTGAAAAACAGTGAACACTCGGTCTGTCGTCAGCTGTCCCGCCTCTTGCACTTTCATTTCAAAGAAGTCACGTATTTTCTGTGGCCATCTTCATGTTGGTCGGCATCTACCTCTCCTTCCCAGTACCATACCTTCTATTATTATTTTTTTCTAATCCGCCTGGTGTTTAATATGGCCAGAATATTTGGCTCTCCTCCAAACAGCGTCCTAATATTATGGCTGCCATAAAATATTCTTACGGGGCTCAGGCATATGTAAAATGCGGACTGTCTGCCAAGGAACAAATCGCTGCAAAACTAGGATTACTTAACAATTTCAAGAGACGCAACATTGCAGACGGTAGAAGCCACTGTTGACAATTTCGAGTGTTTCTGCAGACGATACTAGCAGACAATAATAGCGACTTGACAATTTCGAGACATTACAGACGATGAAAGCGATATGGCGGGTAGACCACGCGCTCTGATGCAGATTAGCAATACTGTTCGTCCGATTGAGGATTTAGCAGCGGTAGATGTCAGACTTGCCGACCTGTATCCTCACACTTTTCGGCATGCGCAGAACGCGATTAAACTCAACGCCGAGCGTATCTCCCACGCCGCTACGCTCGTAGCGGATGGGGGCTAAACTAGGTGCCTGGGACTCACGAGCAAATTAATTGGAGGAAGCTGCAGGAGATGCGGTAGCTGCTGCTCGTGAGTCCCAGCCATCTAGTTTAGCACCCATCCGTGCCGCGCGTAGTGGCGCGGGGGATACAGTCAGCGGTGAGACCCTGTTAGAGCATTTGTTTCATTATACGGAGCCAGCATATTTTTAATAGAACTGAGCCCCGTAAGGATATTTTATGGCCGCCATAATATTAGGATGCCGTTCGGTGAGAGCTTCTTGCAACAGAGGCATCAGAACATGGGAGCTCAGGGGCCTTAAGGCCCCTGTCCCCAAAATACTTTTAATGTGGGGCTGCTGAGGCCTCCTCCCAATAATTGTTAGGAAGCATCCCTCAAACCCCCGTCCCCCATCCCTCAAACCCCCTTCTCCACTATATATAGACACAGCTTTGCTTTGCAGTGACACAAGCGCTTGCCTGGCTTGAAACACAAAAATACACCCGCGTGTGTATACTCAGTGATTCAATGAGTATGATCCGGAGGGTTCAGGCAGGTTCAGTGCGAAGACAATGGCTTGAATCATTACAGAAGTCCACTTTCCGTGGAGTCACCTTTATTTTTGTTCCGGGACACGCAGGCGTCGATGGAAATGAAAGAGCTGACAGGTTGGCTGGATCCGCTATCACTACCGACGGTCAGCCTATGGATCATGCTGATATTATCAATGCCCTCAGAGAAATGGGAAGGATAGACGCCTTTGGTGGCAGTGAATCCACATCACTCGCCAGAATGGCAGACTTGGGAATTAAGATCGGCACAGCAAAAAACGAGACGCACACCAGCTACGCCAGAAGACTTGTTAATCAACATAGAACTGGTACTATTAGCCATCGGACGTTGGGGTTCATACTGAGGGGAGGATCTGAGCACCTATGGACATGTCCGGAGTGCAATGAGGATAACCCAACTAACTAACTAACAGCTTTGCTTATAAATTTCATTTTTTTTAAAATATTATTTTGCCAAACATAAAAATAATAATAATTGTTAATATTATAATAGCACAATTAAGCAATTGTTAAACCGTCTGAGACTGTGGTTCGCCAATCTCTTGATGTTGTTCTCCAACTTATATCGCTGTCTCTACCTCTGCCTTTTCCCTCCTGTATATAACATGTAAAATGTATTATTAATAAAGTATTCTTATTACTTTTAGTCTAAAATCTAAACCCATGTCGGTGGGACAGCTCTGTAACATGTGAATCATGACAGCTGGAAATTTTTATGGAAGGATAGATAGTGACGAGAGGTGATTCTTGACAGTTCTTCTTCGTGATACCAATCAGCGTGGCACTCTATGAGGATACATTTTTGTTAGTTTCGTAATACATTGCATAATACCCTGGTGACAGCACTAGCCAGGCTGCTCTAAATCCTCAGGCTGAAAGGCCCCTCCCCCTCCCCCTTCTGCACCGCCCTAAAAAGTGGTAAAACAGGAGACAGTAATGACAGTACAGTTATCGGTCTGTTTAATATAGATTTTTTTAGTTACAAAAATACAGATGTAGCAGTCTTGATTATAGAGGATAAATTAGCATTCAGTGGTACACTGGAAGTGATGAAGAAGCAAACAGTAAGACTAGCTACATTTAATGTTCTGTGAACTGGAGGTGACTGGATCTGATCTGACTGTTGCAAGAGACAACAGTGTTTAAGCATGGTTATCTGTGAACTGGAGGTTACTGGATCTGATCTGACTGTTGCAAGAGACAACAGTGTTTAAGCATGGTTATCTGTGAACTGGAGGTGACTGGATCTGATCTGACTGTTGCGAGAGACAACAGTGTTTAAGCATGGTTATCTGTGAACTGGAGGTACAGGATCTGATCTGACTGTTGCGAGAGACAACAGTGTTTAAGCATGGTTATCTGTGAAGCGGACATGCAAGAAGAAGCTTGCCTCTCAGAGCACCGTGAGAGCATCAGAGCTGCTAAAGAAGACAGGAAGGCACGGGGTGATGATGAACATCAGCTGAAGACACTTGTGAATAACCAGCCAACTGTACACCTAGGCCAGAATTCTGGTGTGAAGTTTCAAAACTTAGATGATGTCCTGTCGGGGTTAAAGCTTGGGCCTTTCCATTGGCGTATGCTGGTACTGGTCGGTGGTGGCTACTTTGCTGCTTGTTCCGAGATGATGGTGTTTGTATTTCTGAGCTCCCCATTGAAGAAAGAATGGAGCCTTGGTGAACACAACTTCTCTTGGTTGCCTTTCAGGTAAATATTTGTTTGTTTGTGACAGTAGTGATGCACTTTTTTCATTGCATGTTTAGGATCTGAGAGGCTTAACGTAAAAGTAATATAGTAGTAATATAGAAATAGTATAGTAGTAGCAGTCATAGTTTAGCAGTAATAGTATAGTAGTAGTATAGTAATTATAATAGTGGTAGTATAGTAGTACTATATTAGTTTAGTAGTACTGTAGCAGAAATGTAGTAGTAATACTGTAGTAGTAATAGTTTAATAGTAGCACTGTAGAAGTAGTTGTAGTATAATAGTAGTGGTAGAATAGTATTAGTAGTAGTAATAGTATAGTAGTAGTAATAGTAATAATAGTAGTAGTACTATTGTAGTAGTATATTAGTAGTACTGTAGTAGTAGTAGTAGTAGTAGTAGTAGTAGTAGTAGTAGTAGTAATAGTGTAGTAGTAGCAGCAGTAGTAATTTAGTAGTAGTAGTAGTGTAGTAAATTAAAAAGAGGATGGCCTTGGCAATGCAAAGATTGAACAGCCTCAAAAGTCTATGGTTAAGCACCAGCAAGGAGATAAAAATTAGAATTTTGAGAGCATGCATCTTCCCTGTGGCTACAGATGTGAGTCGTGGACTATCTCTCAGTCCTTAAGAAAGAGAATAGGGGCTTTTGAGCTGAAATGCTAAAGAAAGATTCTCAGAATATCTTGGACAAAGAAGAGGAGAAATATTGACATCTTAAAAGATCTGAACATCAAGGAAGATTGGCTAATAAACAGCCTCCTTTCTCGGAAGCTGAAATATTTTGGTCATATCAAGCGCCACAACGGATTGGAAAAAACTATAGCAGAAGGGATGGTACCAGGAAGGAGGGGCAGGGGCCAACCAGCAAGAAGATGGGCACAGGATATAAGTGACTTCTTGAGTGTGAAAGTATATGAGGCAGGAGAACTGGCGAGAGACCAAGTTTCTTTCAGGCAGACTGTGATGAGAGCGACGTTCTGCAAAGGACCTGCTACATGATGATGAGTGTAGTTGTAGTAGTAATATTAGTACCGTAGTAGTAGTAGTATTAGTAGCAGCAGCAGTAGTAATTTGGTAGTGTAGTAGTAGTATAGTAGTAGTAGTCGTAGCTGTAGTAGTATAGTAGTAATACTGTAGTAGTAGTACTGCCCGCATTTAGAGGAGACAGTCTACACTGTTTGGTCACATTGTGAGAAAATGAAAATAGGAGTACATCGTGACAAGACAAAAGATGGAGGGAAAGAGATGCAGAGGGAGAACAAAAGAGAAGATGCAGGACAGTTAAGCATCATGGCCTGGCAGAAAATCTTTCAGAAATAACAATAAACAAATCAAAAAGCTCTTCACAGACATAGATTGTAAGAAAGGACAGGAATTTGATAGAGATATCCTGCAAACTGGGATATATAAGTTTAAAAAAAAAAAAATTTCGTGTATGTTATAATGAAATTGATATTCAGTGCAAGCACACTCCTGGCATATCTTAGTTTTCAATGGCAGATATTGAAAAAAAGTTTCATCATTGTCAGTGTAGAAGACCAATTGTGGAGAATGTGAGAGTGGCGTGGTTGGAATGAGACACATTTTATAAGCATGAAGGAGTGTGGATGAACACTGATTCCTCACCTCAGGTCAAGATGGATTCTTCAGAACTTATGATCTGCTGATGATGTCAGAAAGAAAAAGATGCTCATTTCACTTTTGGCCTGACGAAGTGCCCTACATAGTATTACTGACTACATTCCTCACTGACAAACTTCATTCTGATGGCGACTATTGGTGTTGGCACCTCTAGCGGCTGTCTTTTGCAATTACAGTTTGTGCATGTTTCTGGATTTTTTTTAGGCCTAATTGTTTGTTTGCTAGCAAAAGGCATTTGATGTGATTTTCACTGGCACAGAAAAAAGGTTGTTATTGGGTGACCTGTTTGTGGTTAAATTCAAACATTGACTACCAGGACTGGACAAATATGTGGAGTTGCCTGTTGCAGGCAGGCAAAAAGTTGAAGTATGTAAAGGTCTAAAAGTCAGTTGCGTATCCTTTACAGGACTTTGCAGAACCAACCCCAGCATTTTTTGGCTGTTGTGGTTTTTCTAGGCAAGTTTACGTTCAGTAGTTTGCCATTGCTTTCTGGATGGTTGGCTTCTCAATACCACTGTTGAAACCATCGCAAGGTGCTAGGCCCGCAGCTGGGATCTAATCCGGCACCCCGACATTATGAAACGCGTTCGCAATGCTGAAACCACAGCCGCCAACGGTCAAAGAGTGCAGAGAGATATATATATGAGTTTCCATCACTTTATTAGGGGTTCAAATCTAGGTCCCCTGGAAGAAAGCCCAGCATTCTCACTGCCTGCCAGCCACTTCCCTGAGTAGCTTCATGGCTTACTTAAGTTATAAGTAAAATGACACAACTGAGAATAGAGCTGTTGAAAGATGAAAACAGATTATGCCAAGGAGAGTGTCAAATTAGGACCACTCTCATGAAGTGAATGAGAATAATGGATATTAAACACCTGTCCAAATTACTGAGCTTCTTTGATTCACATCTGAACTGTCAAAGGTACTATTCTTTGCGTCCCTTATAGACCCCAACAACACAGTGTAGCAGCCTGACTTGTGAGCACCGTTCCACCACTGCACATCTATAGGACCTTTCTGTGTAGATCAGTAAATATAAACTGAGTTAAGTTTTCTCCCCGTCTGGGTTCTGGGTCCCATTTTGAGGCAGCAGAAGAATAAACCCACTGCCACCAACAAGTGGGTTGTAAAAGTTGACTGCTGAGGTGTTTGCTGAAATCAGATATGATGGGTTGAAGGGCACAAGTTTCACATCCTGGCTGTAAATCAGAACACAATGTGCCAACGGCTCTTCTGAAGGTGATCACAGATGAATACAGGCAGGAGTGTCCTTGGGAAGTGGCTGACACTCTGCACTCAGAGGAAAGGCAAGATAGACATACAGTCAGAGTGCTACTGTTAACATCAGCATTGGAACTCGGGGCTGGCTGCTGAAGGTGGGGATGGTGTGCTTATGGGAAGGTATTGAATGCTATAAAGGTAAAGGTAAAGTCGGGAACTGTCGTCATTGCACACGGTTATAAACCGTAAGTGCTCTGCCACCGATGCGGATATATGATAAGAAACTGTCCGCCTGTGTCGCCGTATGCATGCAACTCCGTAGCAACAGCGACGTTCTTCCATTTACCCCAGAGCATTAACTCTGGTACCCATTACCTAGAAGCTGGGTAAACCCCAGGAACCACCCAGTTTCGAACACCGGCCAGTTGCAGCTGGATTTGAAAGCAAGTCTCCTATCAACTGTGCTAACGCTATGTTGGTTATTAACTCAGTTCAGCTCAACACATAGAAGATGAAGAAGTGTTCAATTTTCACATTGTGTGTACCTGTGTATGAGTTGTTAAAACATGACTGACAAAATTGATTACAGTACTGGAATTGCTGGTGTCTTTGGGGGCTTCATCGCTGGGACTGTCAGTGACAAGTATGGTCGACGAATACCTTTCCTTGTTGGCATCGTCATTATAGGAGTGGCTGGCTTGACTTCAGCATTCGCCCCAAACTTCCCGCTGTTCATTGCCTGTAGATGCCTGGTCACTGTGGGAATCGGAACCTTTGAGTCTGTTGGTTTTGTTCTGTTGCTGGGTAAGTTGGAATGGTAGATTGGTTTTGTTCTGTTGCTGGGTAAGTTGCAATGGTAGATTGTTTTGTTCTGTTGCTGGGTAAGTTGCAATGGTAGATTGGTTTTGTTCTGTTGCTGGGTAAGTTGCAATGGTAGATTGGTTTTGTTCTGTTGCTGGGTAAGTTGCAATGGTAGATTGGTTTTGTTCTGTTGCTGGGTAAGACGCAATGGTAGATTGGTTTTGTTCTGTTGCTGGGTAAGTTGCAATGGTAGATTGGTTTTGTTCTGTTGCTGGGTAAGTTGCAATGGTAGATTGGTTTTGTTCTGTTGCTGGGTAAGTTGCAATGTTAGATTGGTTTTGTTCTGTTGCTGGGTAAGTTGCAATGGTAGATTGGTTTTGTTCTGTTGCTGGGTAAGTTGCAATGGTAGATTGGTTTTGTTCTGTTGCTGGGTAAGTTGCAATGGTGGATTGGTTTTGTTCTGTTGCTGGGTAAGTTGCAATGGTAGATTGGTTTAAGGTTTTGGCCTTGAGATGCCAATATTTAGGCATTTCCATCCAACCCAGATCCCTGAGAGATCTATATTTTGGCAGTAATGCTTTTATGTATAGTATCATATATTTATTAGTGTATACAATGTATTTGCTCTAGTACTTTCAGGAACAAACATAGCATTTTGCTTAGTTTATGCGACTATCACTTTAAATGATGACAAATTCTGCTTCGTTCATGCTCACTAGTACTTTAGAGGATCTGTTGAACATAATTTATAGAATGTTTTTTTTGCCAGTATGTAATGATGTGCAGTACTTGAATCTTTTATAGGCATAATTTTTTAGCTCTTTTGTAATAAACACTTTATGGTAAGTACCATCACCTTTCTTCAGACGGCTGATGGTGAGTACCGGCACTTTTTCTTGAAAACATCCTGCTAGAATGACATTTTTTTGCTTTATGTATATATACTAGTGGTTTAAAGTGTCACCCATTTTTTCTTAGTTTATTCGTACTACTGCTTTCAGATACATTTGAACAGTGTCACATGTGTTGGCTACATGTCAGGAATTATTTTTCTTAATTGATTAAATGACTATGTTGCATGTTTTGTTTAGTGTGTTCCCACAAGTGATGTGTTCATTTTCTGGTCATCTATGCAGAGTTCTTGCCCAGTCGACAGAGAGGCCCTATCTTGGTGACGGTGACCTTGTGTGGGGCCCTGGGTGCTGTCCTGGCTGGCGGCTTTGCCTGGCTGATCCTCCCAAACTGGGGCTGGCGTTGGTTTGTTGGTACATGCGCAGGCCCTGCCTTTCTGCTACTCTGTTACCAACCATTTGTCTTTTTTGAAACACCCAGGTTTTTACTGTCATGTGGGAGAAAACTAGAAGCAATTAATGTTCTCAAAAGGATGGCCAAGATGAATCATTCAGAACTGCCAGATCTGGGTAGGTGTTTTCTATCACATATATTTGTCTTGGTTTGAGGTTTTTGAACAACGGATCAACATCATGGCACACGGGTAGTAACCAATAAGTGCTCTGTTCTTCTTCTAACTCAAGTCTGAGTCCAAAGAAGCTCAGCACAGTGCACAGGCTCTGTAGCACCGGCGAGGATCCTGACTTTGGGTAGATTTTTAACTACAAATTTTGCCCAGGCAGCGCCGTTAGGCTACTCTTTTCAATTTCCAAGTGATGAGGGATTTTGTTGCGTAACGCGACAATACACATGTGCGTCCGATTGTTTCCAATCCGTTGTGGCACTTGATATGATCAAAATATTTCAGCTTCTGAGACAGGATGCTGTTTACTAGCCAATCTTCCTTGCTGTTCAGATTTTTCAAGAATTAACACAAGACTATTTATCCTACAACTTGTTCGGGAGTCGCTGTGGTGAAGCAACTGGATGCTCACGTATGGATCAGAATGACGTGGTTTCGGGACCTGACGGAGCTGAAATTTTGATAGAAATGAGCATGGCTAGCAGGTCGACCCAGCCTTGAGTGGGTACCAGATGCAATCCTGGGATGTAAAGGCAGCCGGCATGATGCTGACCACATCACCCGCCAAGTGCAAATCGGTCTATAAAATATAGGTCTAGCCCTATATGCCCAATTTGACTAGGGGTATGGGAAAGGGTTCTTTACTCTTTTTTTTAACAAAGTGTATAGATATACAAAGACTATCATGATTTGTTTTCTGTTTATCCTAAGATAGGAGAGGAGTAACGGGGACAGATACTTTCTAGCATGGAGGTATTGAAACATTTGTGATGTTTAGTAAATGCAGTTTACCAGAAAATAATAACTGTGCAGGGGCAGTACCCTGTTTTTGTGTCCTGTTATAAATGATAATTTCACCCATCATCAGCAGTTTTCATTGACTTTTGTCTTCTTCATCAACCTGTTTGCTCTGATAAAATAATAATATTTAGAGAGATAAACATAAAAAATAACAGTCAGATGTTATATCTCCTTAAACCTCCTTTAAAATTCAGAAGCTGGGACAATGAACAAGCAATTCAAAGTTTGAGTGAGATATGGATATACTGAAGAGGAGCAGGTTTCATGGAAACAATCACATACGGGCATCTTTGACAAACAGAACGAAAAAGACTGTTGCCAGAAATAAAATAAAAAAGACAACCAAAATAGTTTTGCCTTATTAAAAGACCTGAAGGAACTGTATTTCGGATCACAATGTTATAAAATAACCACAGTGAAGGGACAAGTTGAAGGTTGGCGAGCAAGGGGTAGACAGTGACACAAGTGGAAGTGAAAAAATAACATCAAGAGATGGATATATAGCCTGACAAAGCATACAACCAGCGCAAGAAACAGTACTGAACATCCGTTACAGCCAGTCTTTAAGGTAGTTCATACCCGATTAATTGAAACATAAAACTACACATATACATGTAAGTACATGCCAGTTGTAACTTTGTTTCAGATACCGTTACCTGTCCACCATCAAACAGGCCAAGAGGGAATCTCCGACAGCTGTTTTCTGACAAGTATTTATCCAGCACGTTGACATTTTCATCCATCTGGTTCCTTCAGGCGGCCGGATATTGGGGCATCACTGTCTACCTTCCCGAGTACATGGCCAAATTAGGAGCAGATCCTTATTTCAACATGTTCTCTATATTCATAGGAGAAATACCTGGCTTGTTGTTAGCTATGATCCTTATAGAGCACTACATGCTGGGCAGAATACGGACTTTACGTTTCTTTTCAGCCATGACCGCATTATCTTTGTTTGTATTCAGTTTTATACCCGAGCATGCATTTAAAACCGTTCTCATTATACTGTGTTACTTCAGTATGGTTCCAATCTATTCTATTCTGAACACAGTAACTCCTGAATTATATCCTACAGAGGTACGCAGCACAGCAATGGCATGGGTAAATATATTGATAGAAGTGCCAGGGCTGCTTACTCCCTTTATTGGAGCGACATTGTTGTCTAGTGATCTCCCTTGGCTGTATCCTGTAGTCTGGGGATCTGTATTTTTGATTCAGTTTGCTATTACTTTTGCTCTGAGAAATGAAACTGCTGGAAAGGCAATAGAGGATCACCAGCTTGATATTACTGCGTGAAGAAATTTAATTTAATTTTTAGCTGTTTGTTGTACATGAAATGTCTCAAGAAATCATTCCACAGTATATACAGGGTATCCAAAAAAGTAACTGTTCACTAATGGATATTTTAATACATGATTTTTCTTTTTATGAAGAATTAAGAAACGACATCATAGCACTCGCGACACTCCCATAAGCACTCCATTCCCATCTTCAGCAGCAGGCGAAGATTTTTAGTTCTGGGGGTACCAGTAACTGTCTGACTGTACGACTCGCCTTTTCCTTGAGTGTTGAATGTTGGCCAGATCCTCTGGTAACTCCTCAGACCATAATAATCTATTTGTGCTTTGGAAAAATTATGAAAATTAAATGGAATGAATTTAAAGAAGAAAAAAAAAACAGTGAAGAAATGAAGGAAATGTCAGGACAACCTCTGGAACCAACACTTATAAGACAGAAAATGGTGATCTTTTGGGCACACGGAAACTGAGCATCAGCAGACAGGCACTTAAACAGGAAGCAAATGGACTGAAAAGGTGAGGATATCCAGAAGAAACCCCAAGATGACCGTTGATGAGGGAGGCCAAAGATGCTGGACTGGATTGCATCCATGATATTCAAACACTTGCACATGATAATATGGAATGGAACAGTTAACTGTGAGCCCTATGTGACATGTAATGGCACAAAAGGATGATGATACTTTTATTTATTTCAGCATATCAATATCTTCAGGACCTCAGGTCAATATTTGGTGCTTTATTAATATCTTACCACAAACAGGGGAAATCCACAGGTCACGGTACAGTCTAATATTTCTGGGGGTGGTAAATAGGCTGCATGCAGTCATGGGACCTAGGCTGCATGCAGTCATGGGACCTAGGCTGCATGCAGTCATGGGACCTAGGCTGCATGCAGTCATGGGACCTAGGCTGCATGCAGTCATGGGACCTAGGCTGCGTGCAGTCATGGGACCTAGGCTGCATGCAGTTGTGGGACCTAGGCTGCATGCAGTCATGGGACCTAGGCTGCATGCAGTCATGGGACCTAGGCTGCATGCAGTCATGGGACCTAGGCTGCATGCAGTTGTGGGACCTAGGCTGAACTCTCTCGTGGGACGTAGGTGGGTTGACGTTAGGGCCAGTTCTAGATGTTTTGGGGTCATTAAAAGCATCAGAAAGCCTGGAAACCCAGTCTTAACACACTCTAAAATGTTGTACTGTTCAGTGACGTCATCTGAGGTAGGATATTAATAAAGCCCCCAACTTTTTTTTAATTGCTTGCCATTGTTCAGGTTTTTGCTTCACTCAGTTTAGTTGAATTTACATGTTTTTTATTTATTGATTATGTTATTATTTTCTTATGTTGTTGTCAGCATTATTTTGTTTAGTCATTCCCATCGGTAGCATGATTTCTGTTCAACTTCTGCCTTCCTCTGTTGCTACAGACTGAAGTTAGGGGGCGTGAATTTACTTGTTGTTGTCAGCTTGGATGCAGTCAGTCCTCTTTTAGACATCTTCTTGGAGGATAGGGGAATTTTGTTACAGGTGAATGAGGTGGAGTAAATGATTAAATAGAACAGGTAAAGTCAGGAGATGTGAACCAGCATCATTGCACACGATTATAAACCATAAGTGCTCTGCTACCAGTACGGACAGCTGATAAGAATTGTCCGCCTGTGTCGCCGTTCGCATGTAACTCTGTAGCTACCGCAACATTCCTCCATTTACCCCAGAGTGTCAACTTTGGTACCCATTTCCTAAAGGCTGGGGAACCCCGGGAACAGCCCGGTTTCGAACACTGACCATGGGCTGCAGCGAGTCGCAGCTGGATTTGAAAGCGAGCCTCTTATCGACTGCGCTAACGTGGCCTGCAAAAATGATAAAATACTTAAGAGTTACTACTGACAAATACAAGTAAAATTGCCTTGTACTCAGATAATTGCTCTTTTGCACATATGTAAATAAGTTGTACCCCACCAGGACATCACACAAGCGATAAACACCCGGTGACACAAAGTGTCACAATGCAGATGTGGATCACCCATGGAGAGGTCCCGAAAACCCCGTTCAGCAGTTAGGCCATATTTATGGCCCAGCTATGTTTAGGGCCCCCGACAAAAGCCAGGGTGGGGTTTCAAATAACGAAAAATTCATCCCACATGGGGACGGCAGCTGAATTGCTCTTTTGTGGCAAAATGGATACAAACATATATACATATCAAGATATCATGTGGTAACAAATACATTTTTAGTTTTTAAAATGTTACTAAAAAATTATTATAGAAATGGTGTTTAGTTAAAATATGTTTTTACTGTTTTGAATTGAATAGAATTATTAAATGGTTGTTTTGCTGAGAATAGATATTATGCAATTGTAATTCAGTCCAAATATGTATTTATTGCAGAATTGTTTTAATTGAATAGTATTCTATAAAAATGTAGAAAGATTGTTATTTGAAAATGTGTTTTTATAAATGCCAGTCAGCAATATATTTCATAGCGATGATAGTATATTAATAAAGTAACAGAAAATGTATTGATTGGCATTCATAGAAAGAAGTAGAAAGATAGAAGAAGTGTTTATTTATAGGAATGGCGATGATAATGAATTTGTTGAAAATAGATATTAATGATAATGAATGTAAGTACAGTGGTACCTTGAAATTAAAACACCTCAAAACTCGACACTGCCTTGGAATCCAAATGCCTTTCATGTGACGATCACGCAGCTGAGCTGACAATGCAAGAGTTTCAATACCTTCACCAACAGTAGAAGGAAGAAATCGAGGAAGAAATGTCTTCTGCTAAGGAATGTTGAATTAGGAATCGACATTACAGCACTCTGGACACTCCCATAAGTGCTCAGTCCCCATCTTCAGCAGCAAGTGAAGAGTTCCAGTTCCGATGGTACCAGTAACCATCTGATTGTATATCCGTCGCATCCTTCCCTGAGTGTTGAGCATCGGCCAGATCCCTTGGTAACTCCTTGCAGCGCTTTTCTCCTTAGACCGTAATACTTTATCTGCGCCTCCCCACTGTTTACTCATTCCCAAGGGCCCTCACAATATCTAACTTGTCATACATCAGTTCACTACCAAGTGGTGCAGAGCAAGTCAGTTTATCTGCCTGCTCATTTCCCAACACACCGGGATAACCTGGAGAAAATATCCAAAAGATGCTAACTACCAGGCAAAGGAAGAGGGAGAAGCTGGAAGGATTAGCACTGCTAATGACCCCAAAGCTCTCTACAAATGGTGAATGACTGTGATATGAAACACCAGAAAGGATTCCTTATTTACCTTTCAAACAATATTCCTTGCCTTTTCTCCCCCCCCCCCCCCCCTCCCTCAACATGTCTGTACTATGTCAGTATTTGTATGAGAGTACAGTAAATACAATTGTTTTTTATATTTTTTTATGTTTTTATTCAAATATGATCATCATCATCATATCTTTATTAAGGCATCTAACAAATGTACAAGGCTAGGCTCCTTCTCTCCATCTGCACACAAACACAGATGTGTAAATTATATGTGTACGCAAAATTCAAGTTTGTGAACAAGGACAAAAGTGGCTAAACAGGCCACTCCAAGAGAGTTGACATCTATGAACGTGACAGAGATTTATGTCGACTTACTGTATTACAAAGAAATATCTGTATTTGTGCTTTGTTGATTATACTAGAGCATTTGATAAAGTGAAACATTTAGAAATTATTAGAATTTTGGAAACCTTGAACATTTATGGTAAAGATCTGAGAATAATAAATAAATAATAATTTAAAAAAAACCATATACTGGCAACAAGAAGCAGACTTGAGAATTGACAACCAAGTGGAACATTTTCTAACCATTCAACAGTGCGTTTGCGTTAGACGGATGTGTAGTTGGTGGCCATATTGTTAATAACCTGCTTTATGCTGACCATATAGTTTTGATTACTGAACATAAAACACAACTGCAAGAAACATATGGACATAACTGTAACAGACAGACAAAACAAGGGGCTTAATTTCAACAGCAGAAAAACAGAAGTAATGGTAAATATAAAGCTAATGGACTGTCCAAAATGCAGCATCAAAGTAAATTGGACAAACCTCAAGCTGGTTGATATGTTCAAGCACTTGGATGCCCTGATAACATCAAATGGAAGATGTATTGAAGAAGTTAATGTAAAATAGGGTTAAGCAAAGACAGCGTTTTACAAAATGAAAAATATTTTATGCAACTTTTCTTTGTCATTTGAGAAAGAGAATTTTCAAGAGCTAAATAAATTCTTACTCAACCGGTTTTCCGGTTTGTGTCAAGATGGCGGGACGTGTTTCTCTCTAGCTCGGCGCATATCGGTTGATCGACGGTCCGACAAGCTGTCATCGCAAAACCATTAATTGTTATAGAATCAGATTTCTGACTCTAACTGCATGATGACCTTACCAACAGTTCAGTTGATATCACGCTGAACAACAACAGCCTTGAAAAAGTCAACAGTTTCACTTATCTAGGGAGCAAGATGTCATCTACAGGAGATACCGCACCAGAAATATCATTTAGAATAGCACTGGCATCTAGTGCCTTCAATAAACTGTCTAACATCTGGAAATCAAAGACACTTAGCAAACACACAAAACTCAAGATCTTCAATTCTTGTGTGATTCCAGTACTAACCTATGGATGCGAGAGCTGGAAATCAACGAAAACTCTAGACACAAAATAAGACAGTTTTGAAAATAAATGCCTTAGAAGAATACTAAATTTCAAATGGTCAGATTTCCGAACCAATACACAAATAAGGCAAGAATCCAGGCAAGAGTATGTGTCTACTTTTATACGAAAACGCCGCTGGAACTATGTCGGCCACGCCCTTAGAATGAATAAATCAAGACTTCCTTACCAAGCCCTCATTTGGACACCACAGGGGAAAAGATCTCGTGGAAGACCAAGGGAAACCCTACGTAGAACTATCATCAGAGAAGGCTCGCTCATGGGCCACTCAAACATCCAAGACCTACAACGGATT